TCAATCTCTGACATCTGAAAGTTGTATATTTCAGATTCTTCTAAAATTCTTATAAACTTAGATTTTCATAAAATTTTATTTCGACATATATTATTATTAGGGCGCGGATGTTCGTGCACGATCCCGTGTCGCGCGCAGAGAACCGCTGCGTGCGAGTGAGTCGAGTATACACATTATACACGATAGATATATTGAATTCAGATGAATTGACAATCGGGTTTTCTCGAGAAATGCTACCTCAGCGAGTACTCGACTCACTCGCACGCAGCGGTTCTCTGCACGCGACATGGGATCGTGCACGAACATCCGCGCCCTAGTAATAAGTATAAACTGCTTATGACGTTTGCAGTGTCAAGAATTTAGAAAGAGTAAGAAGACTTTGAATAGAATTCTTTTCTCTGTCACACATACTTTTCCTAACCGAGTTGAAAAGAGATAGCGATTCTGGGTGTATTTCAAACCATGTTAGTTTGGCTTATTTTATTTTCTAGATGTTAACAGCCACTAAACTAAACCGAGAAGTGTTCCGATTCGGAAAATAGAAAATAGAAAATAAAATAAGCCAAATTACACCCTATATAAAAAATGGAGGCTTACAATAAGTTCGCGAAAAAAAGAGAAAATAATTTCACTGCCTCTCTTTGTCTGACCGCTCGCTTATGTCTTTTGCACACAGGACGCGATAACGCTTGCCGCGTGACAAGAAGCGACGCGGCAGCCAATCAATCTTTCGCTCTTATGGAAAAATTGTCAGTCGATTGGTTAACGCGTTACCGGTTATTGGTTATTGGTTATTATTATTGGTTAACGGTTACCTTTCACTGCGTGCAAGCGTTAATCGCGTCCAATGTGCAGGAGCCAATAGGCCACGCTTATATGGAAAGACGCTTTTCAGTTTGTACAGAGTTCAATGAGCGTATTTTATCGACTGCTGCACGCATTACTTTTAAAATATCGCGTGCTTTATTCTTCCGCTTGCTATAAATTTTTTTACATATTTAAATATTTTATGCATTATCAATCATATTTAATGTTTCATCGGTGATACCAATTGTATTGAAAAATTAATTTAACTTGAATTGATCAATCTAAAAGTAGCAAGGAGAATGTTTCAAGAATTTTAGAAATATAATTGTACGAAGTGATAGAGTGTACGAAGTGATAGAGTGTACGAAGTGCTAAAGCACAAGAAAAAAAGCTAAAATGATCAACATGAAGTAATAAGAGTTATTTTATTTAAGTTAACAACATTTCTATTATGCATTTTATAGAGATCAATACAAAAAATTTGCTTGGTATAATTCTGGTATAATTAATTAACAAATACTAGTTGTGGTCTTAAATAATGGTATTATTCTTTGTTTGAAATAAATTAATTCTAAAAAAATTGTTGGAAAATTTTGCTATTATGAAATATGTAATATTTGTTTAAATTTATTATGTTATGTAATATTTGTAGGCAAAAGAGGCCAAAATGTATCAACCATATCAGTGCTGCCAGTCGGGCCGGGTTGCCCCTCCAGTCCCTTCCAAAAACCAGGCTATGCCCAGTAACGTATTGTAAGCGTGCGGATCCCAGTAAATATAAATCTAAATTTTGATTTTTTTGATAACACAGATTGAAGACTAAATTTATGAAGAATAAGATAGGATAAAAATAATTATTTAAAAAAAGGAATAGGATGAGAATAATTGTAAAAAAACATTCTTGTATAATTATAAAGAAATACTTTATTTGGCAGAAATTATTAAGAATAACAACATTTGTTGCAAGGGTAAGGAAAACTGCCAAAAACCTTACCAGTATCTGTCTGTTCACTGGGATTGTGCCAAAACTGCACCCACAACACGTTACTGTGGTTACCATGGTTACCGTGCGCGCGGCCTAGCCGTTGGAGGGGCTACCCGGCCCGACTGGCAGCACTGAACCATATTGTGATTGATATGTAAAAACACTGTCTAAAACTCTGAACAACACACTATAGGTTTGCTTTAGTTTTTAATTTGAAGATTTTGTTTTTAATTTTAGTGTTATCTCATTAGCAATATAATCCCAATATCGCCATCTTATTGTATCATATTTTTTTGACAAATCCTTACACAGCTAAAAAATAAGTACATATATTAGACATCATATAAATGAAATAAGTAATTTAATTACTATAAAATAAAGAATATAATTTATTTACCTCATAAGCAGAATTAATGTGAAACAAAGAGGATGGAGTTTCATCAGACAAACTTCTTTCCTGACAAATGTCAATTATACAGGCCAACAAATGATTAGTGCGGCATCCTTCTTTATATAGTTCTTCACATTTATTTCTTACTTTATCATTGTAACCCAAGCCTTTACTATCATGTAACAATATTCTACAAACATAAATTATAAATAATACTCCTATCAATATTTTCTTTTAAAATTATATTTTTAGTATAAATAAAATAATAAGTAAATAATTACCCTCTTAAGTAATTCCAAGCACTTTCATTTCCTCTTACTAGATCTATTTTTTCCAGTGCATAATCAATTTCTCTATCTATCACCTCTTGCTCAAACTTGGTTGTATTACTTATCACAAAATAACGTTGGTTCCAAGCAGAATTATTACGAACATCATCATTTATCAACTGCTCTACATATTCCAGTTCTTTATCATATAAACTGTATCCATAATTGCATTTTATTAATATACACATGCTAATTATAATAAAAATATTTTTATTATAATTTGTTATATATATTGAAAATGTACTAACTTAAAAGTTTGTATACACCACTGACGATGTTGCCAAGCATGATAATTTTTTGCATCCTTACATAAAACAGTTTCTATAAATGTTAATTCTTCTATAGGATCCTGCAACCATTCAACTATAACTTTTCTATGATGCCAAACTTGATAATTTTTAGAATTGTACTTTATCATTCGATCTGTATATTTTAACTCCTCATATAAGTTCTTTTCCAATGCTTTAAGTATCTCTCTTCTGTATTGCCATACAGTGTAATTGGCTGGATTAAGCCATATACAAGTTTCTGTTAAAGCCAACGTACGTTCTGACTTTTCACCTGATTTTAGAATGGCACGGAAATAATCATAGGCATCCTTAACTAAAAGTTAATACAGTAATTAATGAGAATATATAAAAATATGTGAAAATAAAGCTGCAGTTTATTAAAGCAAATTCTTTTTATAGTGCAATAAGTTCGTATAATAATAAGAAAACACATGAAGATAATTCAGTATATTTTACAAAATACAATTTTCTTTAATAATAATTAATCGTAGAATGACTCACACATTTATATACTCACACTTTTCGGAATATGCAATTGCTACAACGGGATGAGGACCATCGTCCTGAGGTAAAGGAGTCACGTCACTCCATTCATCGCGGTCCTTATATAAAATCCACGGTGTTTTCTCATTATCATCGCCATAATTTAACTCTTCGTCAGAACTATCCGACATGCTTTACTTTAATACAATTTTTTATGATCGTAGAGAGAAACAGGACCACAAAAGTTTTCTTTAGAGAATTCTAACCTCACTACTCTCTATACTTGTCCATATTCTATCCAATTGTAAAAATTGCTTGTATCTGCTACAGATAATATACACTCAATGTGCTATAAATACCTTTATACCTGCAGTTGATTATTTTAAAGGTGTATATACACACACACAAATATCTAATTAGAAAAAAAGGTGCTAAAATAATTTTCTTGCCACGTTTTCAATTTTAGTCCACTTGATTTACATTTGTGTCATGAGTTTCGTTTTATGTATCAACTGTATATTAAATAATAATACGATATTATTTTGTAAATGTAAATCTATCATTAATATGTTATCTAGAAAAAATTATAAATATATAAAATAAATAAGGAAAAAAATTTATATCTAAATAACAATTATTTTTCAAAGGTTTGTTTTTCCCAAATCTCAACAAATTAATGGTGCAATTAATGTCATGCATTAAAATTTAAAGATTTATTGAATAGAACGAAATTATACAATGCTTTTTTGTTTAAAGTATTTAAATAAAAAAGTTGGGTAAGTTGATTATATCATAATATATAACAATGTTCTCTATATTAACCTATGTGTGTATTGTTACACATTATTACAGAATAAATTTGTTTTACACAGAAACATTCATCTCATTCTCTCACAGTTCTAATATTCTTGTCTTACATTCATTCAGTGAATGTACTACATAGCATTCTACAGTAACAAGACTGTAATGTGGAACTGTTAACAAATTATTTTCGCATTATTTTTGGTACAAATCATTTTTATCATTATATACCAATATTATATAACTGTGTCTTATATTTTGCATGTGACTTTGTACATTACTCAAATAATTGACCTTCATTAAATTACATAATGCAAACAATCAATTACATATATAATTTGCTACTTTACATTAAAAACTAATTGGCTAAGTCTTTTATGACACAAAAATTGACTATTATTTACTATAGACGTATGTACAGAGCTACTTCCATCTTTAACAAAAGCTTATTAACTGCAGACATACTTTTATGACAAAAGAAAAAAAAACAGATTCTATTTGCAGCTTTTAATATATAACATACAATATATATTGCTATTTTCTATCTTTCATAAAAAATAAGACTTAATTTTGCTTGATATTTAAAATTGTTACTTAACGAAAAACGTATAACAAGTGACTTCCGATATGTACATACTCAAATAAATACTGTGAAATCAAAGTTATATATTAAAATATATAAACGATGTGTACATAACTTGCAGATTGTGTACATTATTTGCAGAATGTAATTAATGTTGATCATTCGAGCAGTCTGCATATCATATGCAAAATGTCAAGACACTGCACAATTATGATACTGGTATACTATAATTATAATTGTAAAATTATTTGTACCATAAACAATATACACACAGTTGACTTTTTTCTTTTTTTTATAGAACGCAAATTATCTAATTATAATTAATTTTGCTCCTCTTTTTTCTCTTTTTTCTCTTCAGGTTCCTGCTGTGATTGATTTTGACTTTCTCTTTCCGCTGCCATCTGCAAAATCAATATGATTAAGTAATAGTTCTTAAGTTGTGTAAGATGTTGTAAATTGTCGAATTTTCTCTAGATAAGTTCTTGTACCTTCTTATATGCCATTTCAAATAGCTTCAAACTCGCTTGTTGGAGTTCATTCGTTTGTTTCTTTATTTCTTCAGGATCTGTATCATCTTTTTTGGCCAAAGTCTCTCGCAGTTTTGCAACTAATTCTTTAAGCTTATCGCACTATGAAAGGAAGGTAATAAGTATGAAAATGTCAATATAAAATACTAATAACAATAATTAATAATATTATACCTCTTCCTGTGGTAACTGTGCTTTGAATTCTTCTAACTTCGATTCCGTGTCATGTATAATTCCTTCTGCTTGATTAACAGCTTCAACTCTTTCCTTCTTTACCTTATCTGCCTTCGCATATTGCTCAGCATTTTTAACCATGTTTTCAATTTCATCTTTACTAAGGCCACCACTAGACTGGATAACAACTAAAATAAAAAAATCAGATTTAATATCCTAATCCCTCAGAGTAATATCTATGTCGTTTCTTTAGTCACTCAGTATAATATAGTCCACAATTTTTATATAATTTTGTATTAAACTTCAGAGACGAAAAATATAGGCATCACTGTGTAGTATGATTTTTGAATATAGTATATAAAATATATAAAATAAAAAATTTACATACTTTGTTGTTCTTTGCCTGTTCCCTTATCCCTGGCTGATACATGCACTATACCATTCGCATCAATATCGAATGTTACTTCTATTTGTGGTACACCTCTCGGTGCAGGTGGGATACCAATGAGACTAAATTGTCCAAGGAGTTTGTTATCATTAGCCATTTCTCGCTCGCCTTGATGAACTTTAATTTCAACTTGAGTTTGACCATCTGCAGCTGTAGAAAATACTTGACTCTTTTTCGTAGGTATAGTTGTGTTACGAGAGATTAATCTTGTGAATACACCACCAAGTGTTTCGATACCTATAAAGAAAGATTCAAAGAATAATTTTCTTACTAATAATACACAATACAAATTGACTTATAAAGCTAGAAATTCAGCAAATCAGTGTCTTCACTTGGTATCAGAGAGAAGATTAGTCTAATACATCATAGTTTCATATCTATAATCAAGAAAATTTAAGCCTCAATTGTTTACCCAATGATAAAGGTGTAACATCGAGAAGTAGAACATCTGTTACATCTCCTGCGAGTACACCTCCTTGAACTGCAGCACCAACAGCTACCGCTTCATCTGGATTTACAGCTTTCGATGGTTGTCTACCAAATATTTCTTGAACTGTTTGCTGTACTTTAGGAACCCTAGTCATACCACCGACTAATAAAACTTCCCCAATATCGGATTTCGTTACTTCGGCGTCAGAAAGAGCTTTCTGACATGGTTGAATCGTTCTTTTAATCAGATCATTTACAAGACTTTCGAATTTACTTCTGGATAGTTTAAGATTCAAATGTTTTGGTCCACTGGAATCCACGGTAAGGTAAGGTAAATTTATATCCGTCTGGAGAGAACTTGACAATTCAATTTTAGCTTTCTCTGCAGCTTCTTTCAATCTTTGCATTGCCATTGCATCCTTAGTCACATCTAGGCCTTGCTATAATATTAATTTCACAAACTGTTATTTAATACTGATATAAATTTACTTTAATGTAAAAAATAATTATAAAGTATATTTACCTCTTTTTTAAATTCAGATACGAGGTAATTAACCAATGCATTGTCAAAGTCTTCTCCTCCCAAGAATGTATCTCCATTTGTAGATTTTACTTCAAAGACACCTTTCTGGATTTCCAAAATTGAGATATCAAAAGTACCTCCACCTAGATCATAAACAGCAATACTGGAACAAAAATCATATTTATCACATCTGTCTTGCTTTCCAGCAGAATATAGGAAATACAACGTAATGTTCAGTAAAGTGTTTCAGCATGTTCAAGATAAATATCTTTAAGAGACGAAAAATATAAGCATCATTATAAAAAAAAAAATACTATTCATATCATGCATCAATGTAATTCTCTTACATTTTATCTTCCTGTTTATCCATGCCGTATGCAAGTGCAGCTGCGGTTGGTTCGTTAATTACTCGAAGCACGTTCAATCCAGAAATCTGCCCAGCATCTTTTGTGGCTTGTCGTTGAGAATCGTTAAAATACGCTGGTACAGTAATAACCGCATTTTTCACTGAAGTATTTAAGTAAGCCGCTGCTGTTTCTTTCATTTTCATAAGTACAAATGCTCCTATTTGACTAGGAGAATACATTTTTCCATCAGCGCCTTGTACCCATGCATCTCCATTGGATGCTTTAACAATTTTATACGTTACACTTTGCCTGTAAGATGAAATATTATTTATTAATACAAATATAACAATAATTCCTTATTGTAACAAAATCATATAAATATTAATGTGATACATACATATCTTTTTTAACTTCAGGATCTTCAAACCTCCTTCCAATTAATCGTTTTGTTGCATAAAATGTATTAACAGAATTTGTGACTGCTTGACGTTTTGCTGGCATACCAACTAAGCGTTCGTCCTCTGAAAAGATTATTTATTGAAAAAAATAAAATTTAAATTATAAAAATATTTGATTTTTATATTGTTAATTATTGCAAAAACAAATACATAGATAAAATAAATAAATGTTAAAATATATTAAAATATATTAAATAAAAAAATCTAGTAATAACCTTTTGTAAATGCTACATAAGATGGAGTAGTCCTAGAGCCTTCAGCGTTTTCTATAACTTTAGCTTGTTTTCCTTCCATCACTGCTACACAAGAAAAAGTAGTTCCAAGATCGATACCAATAACAGCACCCTTTACACCTTCAGATCTATAAAGTTTCATAGTTTATTTAAAAGTCATTCCAAAAAGAAATATTTATTTCATATGCATCTCTTTTCAATACTTACTTATAACGATACTGTTGTACATCGGTTAACCGATGTGACACGGTAACTGTTGGAGCTGCAACCTAGAATATTAAAAATAAAAATCTGTATATAGAAATAACTGTATTACAAATAAATTATATGTAAACAGTATTATACAGATTTTGTAGAATGAATCAAGACAGAAGGCAGAGAAACATAGAATTATAAAAAAGTACTTAAGTATAATCTTTTATTAACATAAATAACATAAGTCAAGCAAGATTTTTACTAAGAACAATTAAACATTTTAAACAAGGATTGATGATAAATATATTGAGTTATTTACAAAAAATATAAATTTTTTTAGTAGAAATATTTATGCAAAAGAAAATCTAGAACGGTGCAACTTTTCTTATGTAAGTAGTAAGATAAATTTTCTCTATTAAATAATAAAATGCCAAGCCTAAAGAATATATATCGTCAGTTATAAAATCTGAAAATATTCGTTAAATATATGAACCAAAAATTCACGTGCCGGCTTTAAAATCGGCGTCGCGATGGAAATAACATCTTCTAGACTCTTCGCGATGTATGACTGCAAAATAGCTTAGAGTTTATCGCATAACAGCACGACAAGAAAACATTATTAATAAAGAACTATCTTTCATCAAACAATGCATAAATAGCAATGACCGCAAAAAGTTAGAAAAGCATGGAGTTGCATTATCGCTAACAACGAATTTACTTACATTTTTCAGGATTGTGCTGAACTGTTGCTTTCTCGCGATGTCGCAGGCGACACCGGCGTAGTTGCGGTTCAATAATCTTGCGACGCTCAACATTTTGGCTTTCTTTAGTAGCTCCTAGAATTTCAACGATAAATCGGCAGGAAACGTGGTATAACCCAACTTCACATGTAATGATGCAACTCTATTCTCTCCGAACTCCTGCTCGAGACTGTGAAAAGCGAGTAATGCGCACACGCATATGTATCCCGCGTAACGTCCACCAATTGCATTCGAGTTCCAACCGAATACACCAGTAACAATTATATCATTCTACTCCTCGTGACTAATATCCAGTAGCATCTCGAATTGATCGCGAATGTTCTATTGAAGATCGTACATACATCGAACGTACTATCAAAACGATAAAAATGACGAGCGACTGTTTTTCGCAAAATAACGTAAATATTCTACAACAATTCTTATTTCTGTTTCAAATGTCTACACGCTAAGTGCAGTAAAACGAATAGAATAATTCAATAGCCGGATCTCTGTAGTAGTCAGGTATCTAGATTTTTTTGGGTTTTAAAACAGTACATGAAGTCAAAGGTTATGTAATCAAGTAATATAATTGCAATAAGAAACAAACAAATAAGAAACAAAGCTGTGATCTAAGATAGAATATCGTAGAATACAAAAAATGAAACGTTTGTATTCATATTTTAGATTAATACATATATTTTATTAAAATTATCCTAATGCAAATACATAATCCTAGTACAAATAAAATATTTTGAAACTTACAAAATAGCATAATATATGAATAATAATATGAATAACTAATATTTTCTCTATTGTACATAGGGCCTTATCGTATTAGGTTAGAAAAAATTGGTAGCAGTCAGAAAAATAGATTTAACAATCAGTAAAGTAGTACGCACAATAGTGGGCAGTTGGTCTTTTTCTGTTGCATTGAATCGGAAAGTCTAAAAAATTTACGATGGTTAGTAAGATAGATCGCGCAGTGTTCAGCAAAATAATGTACACAGTAGCCAGTAGAGTGCGCCAGTAGTGCGCAATTGCTTGGCGCGAAGAATTTTCGTTTGCGCGGTCTCTTTTCATCGCACGACTTGGAACATGGACGTTTTACTGTGTTAGCGCATATTTTATTCGTATTAAAAATGTACAATAAGTATGAATTTTTGTCGAGAGTGCCGGTTAAAGTGACGCTGTGAGTGTCGGAACATATTATTTATCGTTAATCGAATGCGATGATTAACATTTTATTGAAAATCTGATGGTTGAGCCGTGGATTCAAACACAGGTTAAAGTTCTGTGTATGGTAAGTATAGATTTTGATATTGTAAAATAATTCTTACGTTGAACATTCAGTTTGTCATCATTAAATCGAAAAAACGTAATTGCTGTTATGTACATGTTTATGATGAGCTCCGTGTGATCGCCAAGATTAGTTGCCTTATCGCGTTCACTCGGAATGTATATGTATATGTATATAATGCCAAATAGACCGCCATATTGTAAGTTGATAATAAGTCAAACAATTATGAAACAAATAACGTTGTCTCGTGTTTGTGTTTCATGTGTCGCAAAATGATAAACTAATGTGTATCTGTAATTTTTATATTTTTTCGACAGTGATATGTGCGGGTTAACTTTTATCTAGTAGATGCGAAATGACTAGCGATGATGCGAGATGTTTCAGTTTCCAGTATTGATTTCTCGATAGAGCTGATAGGATACAACGATCGGTGAGTCAATGCATTCATCATATTTGTGTAATTATATAAAATATTGATATCATTGTCTTTTTATTAATATTTGTTGTGTATATAATTTCTAAAAAATTGTACTTTTACAATTACATTTTTGCTCAAATTGCATTTTAATAAGTAAATAATAATATATAGAGCTATTTTCTCTCTATTTCAAGTGAAGAATATTAAATTTTGCACAAGCCATATACAAGTTCTTAGTCTTAAATTATAAGAGTACAAAATTTTGAAAATATAAATTATATAAATATATATATAAATTATATATATAAATGTATAAATATATATAATTTATATTTTCAAAATTTTGTACTTTTATAATTTAAGACTAAGAAATTATATATATAAAGACAAGATTTTATGAAAGCATAAATTTTATATAAAAAATTTGAAGAATGAATTATAAATTTTAAGAATATATTGTTCAACATTATTATATAATAAAAAAAATATAAGCATATTTTTTATTTAATTTTATTAATAAGTCGAATTGTTAATATTTTGACAAAAGCACAGAATTGTAAAAGTACAGTTACGCAATTTGTTGGTATGGCAAAAAATACTATGGTTATTGATATGATTGCTTGTTTTTTTCTTTGATTGATCATCGTAAAATTCGAGATTTTTTAAAATACAATATATGAAGAGAGCCCAATAACTGAAAAATATGTAATATCTTTTCTTACTGTATGTCCATTATAATCATTTTTCTATTTTAATGAATAATATATGAAAAATCTAACATAATATTAAAAATAACTATTACTAAAGAAAATTAGTGTATGGATATTGATCAGAAAATAAATGATTTTAGTTCGAAAAGCAAACACAATGAAATGCATAGTAATTATAGTGAAACATGTACGAAACTATTATTATTTGTTCATTATTTAAGTATATATATTATTGTGATAATACATAGAATTACTATTATATTATTTCTTAAAACAACACTATGTTAATTAATAATTGTAAATATAGGATCAAATTAGGACAGGATTTACTTTCATATTTTGTATTTAAAAAATGCAATAATTCTAATTTTTTCAAATACTTTGATAGTTTTTAATATTTAAAATTTTACGATGACAAATCAATAATAATAAATCTATGTTATACCAATATGATCTTTATTATACTGCTGTGTATAGAAAATGCAGTATACAATTTCTTTTATTTGGCTGCAACATATACATTGAAGTTAAGATAAGTTAAAATGCTGAGACTAAATTCATCCAGAATATAGGATGACATATATTACGTAAAATACTCGATTTGATCGATTAAATTTGATCGATTATTTGCATACGCAATATAAATAATTCAGTGTATTATTCCATCGTTATTGTTGTTACTAATTGTAAGTAAAATATCTTACGTATGCGTATTTTTACATACATCCCAGGGAGAAATACAGGTCGAAAAAACGTCTAATAGACATCTAATAGACATCTAATAGACGTCTATAAACGTCTAATAGACGTTTCTTCGACCTGTATTTCTCCCTGGGATAGCGCACTTAAATTAGTGAGCTTCTGCAAAAATTTATTATATTGAACATTTATAATCCAAACATATTCAAAAGTATTTATAATCTTAAAGATTAGGTAACTCGAAACTGCAGTAACAATGATAGTTTGCAATAAAATTATAACGAGTAGTACAACAAAATGTATAGTAACAAATGTACATACTAAAAATGAGATGGAGATCATTATGAACAGTTCTTCTTTTGTTACATGATGAGGTATTAAAACAATCAACGCACGTTAAGATTTTACTTAAATCTCTACAAGATTAATCAATAAATCATAATATTGCGAATTTTTTTTAACCAAATTTGCAATTGCTTTTAATTGTAAATTTTGCTTAGCAAAACTTTATTGAACGAAATTTTTTAATCAAGCTTGAAATCAATTTGGCGTTTGAAATTACATTGGAAACTTTTAATTAGTTGTTATAAACATTTAGCATAAGTCCTTAAACGATAAACATTTTTTATTTGATTCAACAATAATGAGAACCATCCAAATAGACATAAGAATAACAAACAATCGCTAAGTTCATTTGAACATGCGATTTATAATGTGGTCAGGAACAACATCGTTTAATATGAGCAATGTTAAAATCCGATGATTAGTAGGAGATTTAGGTTAAATCGCATTTGTTCTTTCCTTCCAAGCTGCAAAATTCATGGCTCCTCTCGTATAAACTGTACAATTAGTCATGTCATTCCTGGAACGTGAAAATAATATTTAAATATTATATCGCCTAGAATTGATGCATCACTAGTCAACTATTCAATATTACTATATTTGTATCGTAATTAATTTATTGAATTTAATCAATTAATAAATTACGATATTTGAAAATTAGTAATAATAATTACAGGAAAGGATCTTTTAGAATAAAAGCTCTCGGTTGCATCCATTGTAACCTATCTCCATTGTGGCATAAAATTTGTGCCATTGTACTTTTTCGTATTGCTTCCAATTGTTTTATCGTAAACGAACCAGCGGTATTTCCATTCTCGTACCAATATCTGTCACCTGCGTAGAGAAATTATTATAGATTATAAATAATAAAATAAAATTTTAAATAATTAAAGTCGCGGTAGACACAGCGCACACCGTTGTTGGTGTGCGCTGTTTATCAAATCCAGAGAAATTAAGAAAATGTAAGAAAATTTCATGCAAATCGAATCGAAGTGTTCACTTCGTATCAATATGAACGCAAGAATGAGGATTAAAATAAAATATGCATTCTGTCGCGCGAATGTAGTCGGATACTGCGAAAGCATTTAAAAGTTAAATTAGTCATATTTATGTTGATATTAAACCTGCTGCGAATCCTGTTTTGTTCTCTCTGATCTCTTTAATTCAGGAGAATAACATGCATCGCAAGTTTCGAGTGCGAAAAATGCAAGATTTATTTTATCATATAAAATTGTTAGTTAACGAAAATAAAGTTACCTAAACGAATATTCCGAAATGTCCGTCCTAACAAACAAAGAAACGTGGGTCCGAGAACAGAATCCGATACTGGTGCTTCCGAAAGAGCTCCCGTTACCAGATCTATATCTTCCACACTTCTACAAATTAAACAGAAAAGGATAAAACATTAGGATAGAAAATTTATAAAATACCATAGAGATCGTTTGCATAATTATTATAAGATCTCATAAAAAAGCAATTTATTTTGAGTCGCAATCGTAGAGAAATGCAAATTCAAACACGGCAATCGTTGCTGCATCTCACTCTATATTCTATCTTACTTGTAAACTGCTCGAAGTCTCTCGATAGTATCTCTGGTTACTGTGCCTTTAAGATCCCGAAAGTCCACGATATCCGGCAGATCGCAAAAGCTTCGCCACCTGACATAAGACGGCAAGCCATGATCTCTTCCCTGCTGTATAATTTGCGCGGCGTAGTCCACGGCTACATCGTTGGTTTTCCCGTCGTGGAAGTATCGCTCCAGGAGTATTTCGTTCAAGCCCGGAGGCAGAGGCTTCCTAGAATGTCCCGCTGTCGCGGAAATTAGATCTTGCATCCTAGATCGTCATTAAAATCAAGTTCTCATGGGACAACGTGTCAGTGGATCATGACAGTAGATCTTAGAAAATTTAATAGTACTTGTCGAAGATTTCTACCTTCTTTGAAAGTTTTAAGGATTTAAGGATTTAACTTCCAAAGGTTTAAAGGCTTAAGGAACAAAAATATCAGGGGAGAATAGATTTATATACTGTGCAAATACAGCGGTATTTAAATTTGTTCTGAGTTACGTATATTGCGCAACTCTCATCTCCCTTTACGGGCATTATAGTTTATGAAAGTTATACATGACACCCACGCTCCGCCCCTCTCTCTCTCTCTCTCTCTCTCTCTCTCTCTCTCTCTCTCTCTTTCTCTTCAAGAAAATTATGTTAGTACTTCGAAAATTTTAGGTCGTATAGAAGTGGAATTGTGCTGCGAAATAGCGTCGCGCGATATAAAATTTGGAGGAATAAACCGGATTTTTTTCTTTTTACTCCCAGCTGTTCCCAAATGATGGTTGGCACAAATGGAGCGAATATACGTTTCATGGAGCTCGATTTTTTTGCATTACTTTGTTCTGAGAGGGAGACATGTACAAAAAAGTTTAATATCAACTTTTTACGTTAAGTTTCTTAAATCACGCGCGCTCGTAAAATTTCACAAAAAGGCATCGCTGTAACGGCAATGTGCCTTTCACTGATGTTACATTCTTTTCCACTATGTAATTAAAAAGTTCGTGCGCGCTATTGTTCGTGCGTAGATGGAAGCATATATTCCGTGAACTTTTGTGGAATCGTGTCGAAGTTTGCATAGTCTTTGCTTGCGCAGCCCACATTCGTACATGGTAATAGATTTCGATTTCAGACAAATTAGCGTCGATAAAAATTCACAGTCTAACTTTGTCAGCTATTATTTTTCTGAAGTGAGCTATTATTTTTCTCGATGAATTTCTTTTTTACTTTAATATCTTTTTCGTGATATTTCCGCTAAAATATGAATGTTATTATTATATTTCACACAAGAAAAAGTGAAAGGTAGTAATATTCAATAAAAAGTCAAGTCAATTTTATGAAGACTGAAGAAGCACGCGATGGATGACAATAGTAATCATAGTAAAGCAATTTACTCAACACAACGGCATTCCTATCGTTATAAACTATAATGCAACGAGCATGTTCGCGCTTGACTGGAATGTATTTCATATGATAAAATACGAGATGCGTGAAGCGAGTGTATTTCCCTTCACTCGAGATGACTTCCCTTATCTTTTTAGTACTTGTGTGAGCTTGACACGCATTGATCTCTATCTTAGAAAAAAAAAGTACAACTGACTTGATTGTAGGTATTGTGTTTCTTTGAGACGCAATTTAAGTGATATTCATTACTCGATAGTGTGTAATGTAAAAGTGGAAAAGAATCTAACATTTACGTTTAAAGAATAACATGAGCATTAGCTACAATTCTAATTTGTATGAAACATGACATACAGACTTAAAACGCGAAGAACGAAATCTTAAATATTAGACATTAACTGCTTATTATACAGCGCGTGCATTATAATGATAGCGTGTAGTTTTAGAAATTCATTCACGCACTGTGTGAACTTTCTCACTGTAAATTTCATAATCTCAAGGATCTCGTATTTTTATGTGTATTAACATATCGTGATATTTAAAAATAAAATATATTATTCCTGTGTATAGAAAACGTTAATAGGTTATGAGATAAATCACGCTGAAATATATTTTGAATGATTTTATAATGTTGTTCTGCTTAAAAAATCAATTAAAATATAAACTTTCTCTCTACTTATTCTTCTTTTCTGTTTTCTTCCTGTTGATATCTAAATATCACGCGATAAATTCTCCTCGTATCTTAAATATCGGGTCACACTGGGGTTATATCGAGTAATTTCAACTGACCTGTAGCTCCGACGATCAGTCGGTCGATCGCGCCGGCTTCGTAGAACTCCTGCGGCGCGTAAAAGGCCGACAACAAGGACCTTTCGCCAGACTTTTGCGACGATCGCGAGTCAACCAGGTCGAGGGTTTTCGGGGTCAGGGCGGCGACGAAGAAGAGTCCGGCCGACGCCGCCGAATTCGAAAGTGTCGCGTCCACGCGAGTGTCGTAGCCGCGGAAGTAGCCCCGCTGTGTCAAGCGCAGGTCGAATCTTTGCATAACAAAAGATAACGTGTTTGGTACCGTATATGGATGTGAGTTACGTCTTGGAAAGTGGGGGTCGATCTAACATGATGTAATTTCGTTGCGTCATGGCTCTTGTAGGATGCATCGTACAATTTGGAAACACTTAAAGGACACTCGAATGAATATATAAATAATAAATTTGTCGATACACAATGAATCAGTAAAGCACTGCATCGGGACAATTAATTGCAAATTATTGCGCGATTGCGTAATAAATCGATTTAGATAGTTCGATTGAGTTGGTACTAAAAAAAATGATCGGTTTTTAAGGACCATATTATATGAAAAATTACAAGCAATAGAAATCGTAACTTGTCACAGGAATTCCGTATGCTGTTACGTAAATTATGATTTAACACACGTGTGCGCTATTAGAAATGTAGTCACGTTTTTCGTATATTAACGCCGTCTGATTATCTCCCATCGCATACGTCAGCGTATGCGATTAGTTCTTGTAATGATGGTATAAGAAGCCGTGTTAGACATTAAATAGAGTTATCAGAATGTAATGTCAATTCAATTTATAAAATAGCAACTAGCCATTAAAACCGACAGGTAGACGCCTTTATGAAAATATTGCAACAGGTTATTGCGACTATTGAAGAACATTGACGCTAATACAACTATAAGATACGACGATGAAATGCATATATTGATTAGCATAATATGTATATCAAAGAGCTTTAAATGTTCGAACAAATGCTAAATATTGACTGAAGTTATAACAAAAGAATCTTCAACGATTCGCAATTATTATAAATAAAGCGCGATTAGTGAAGTTTTAATGGAATGTATTAAGAAATGTAATTTAAGAAACATTATACATACTTGTCAAGAGCATCCTCTCCAAAAATAACTGGCAGAAATTCGTTATAAGTTATATGCTGCAGCTCGGCGATAACAATCCTTCTTGCTTCCTGATATAGTTGTTCGTCGTCCCAATGAGGATTTAAACGTTCTAATTCCGTAGCCACTCGGTTGTGCTCCCGTAAGAATAACACGTGCATTAAAGTAAGACCCGGATTCTCGTTTACTCTCGAATCGCCACTAAAGAAACACGGGAATGCTTTATTCGAGCTCCTGCAACTTTCATGTCTTGGCGAAGCCATCGGCAAATTCTTCCTCTGCGTATTTAGCAAACCGCCCTTGCCCAATCGTAAGGCTTTAGCTGTTTCTTCGGAACTACCGTAAAGCGGTGATAGATCCAGATAGGAGGATGCTTGATTAATCTGCTGTCGCGGACCCAACCTGCAACCCTAAATTAAACAATATGGCAACAATTAAATCTTCCATAGTGATTTAATCACTAAGACTGTTTGAAATATGTTAAAAATTATAAAATTTTTTGTGGAAAAGTCAAAACTCTCCATAAGGTTTATAATAAAAGATTCTAAAAGTCTGTTTGCTTCACAGAAGTTGAGTAATATATCTTCTTTAGAATTTTTATTTGAAAAATACATCGGATTAAATCCTAGAATTTTAATTCTATCCATCCGCAATGACGAAACTTTCTCTTCTTCATCTACAGTCTTCGTATGATGAGGGACATGTTCACACTCTGGTGTTGAGTTAGCTAATTTTTATACCCCCCCGTGTCATAAGTAAATTACTATTCGCTTGTGTGTTAGCGACGATATAAATCTTGTGCAAAACTCGTCTCAAAAGACATGAAAGATGAATTCCTAGATCGGGATTCTTGCACAATAATATGAAGAAATCACAGATGGTAGTATCTCCAAGAGATATTTCTCAACATTATATAAGATTTTATTCGCAATTACCTGTAACGAATTTCCTGGATGCGGCGCCGATCTCGAGTATTCCATACACCCGACCGGCTGCTCCGCGCGGATCGGAAAGCACTCGGGATGAAAATTCTCGTAATCAACATTGCAGCATTTGAGCCTGGCACCGTCCGGCAATTCCATCCTGGGCGTATGCGCCAAATCGTTAGCGAGGAATTGACTGAAAAGCGCATTGAGCGCCATCAAATAAGGATGTCTGAGATCCAGTCCGCCGGAATGCACTCTCGAGGAGACTTCTCTCGCGCTTGGCAGCTTTGTGCGGGGCAAGGAGACACCATCTTCGTATTCCGGCGGCAAGAGTCTCACATAAGCCTCCAGTGCTGCGCCCCAAGTTGGATGCAACGGATTATTGCAGCGACCGGTGTGCGTCCTGTAATGGATATCCGTTTTTTTGCACTCGGACATTATTCGCAGAAAGCTGGGCGAGCCGGGGCAGAAGATGGCGGCCACCGTCGGCAGCACCGAAGACGCCTGTTTCGACGACATATTGAGCGCCTCCACGAGCATCATCGTCATCGTCTCGATCCGCAGGGCTTGCCTCGAGAGATTTTGCGCGCCTTCGGTCATCTCGTGGGACGCGCCGAGAAACCAGGACGGCGAGCCGCGATTGAGACGCGTCTGGGAGTCTAGGATCGCTTGTTCCGCCTGGCTGTACCGCTCCATGGAAAGATTCGTACGCTTACCCAGATCCTGCAGCATCCTGGGCGGCAAGGTCGCAGCTCCGACGAGTGTCATTAGAGCGAGGAATCTGTGGATTGAAATCTAAAGATAGAAAACACCCACTTATCCACACTGAGTGCCGCCGCAGTAAACGGTTACGCCTTCGAATCGAGATGCGCTCTTGTGTGAATGCGCTTACGTACCGTATGGTGCAGCGCGGTATTGCTCATTGTTACCCAATCGCTATGCAAATTCAGCGACTGCTGTTATTATCTAACTTAGCAATGATGCGATAGGATCAATCATTAAAAGTACAATTATGGGGTTGGGTATCGCGGCAGTAAAGACGATCGTATATTTGTGCATCCGCTTTGCAAATTACCCGCACACGTTTTAAAGTCACGATGTTTATCGTCTTCTATCGACCCAGATTGCGGACCGGACTCGGCTCGTCTCATTAGTAGAATGTTACTTCGTTACCGTTAGTATTCGGTTTTGCTCTGTCTGCATTTTAACGCTGCGCTAGAGATATAGAGCTCGATAAGATCTCGTTGAAGTCACGTACGGCGATGCAACGGTAATGTACGGCGAGGTTTAAGAGCAAGCGAGGCTTTGTGCGTAATTTGCTCTACGTGACAGCGAAACTGGCGAAGATGTGGTAGACGTGATATCGAGTAGATCATAAACACACTTTGCGATTTATATCGCGCCATCGCAATGAACTCCGCAGACCTTGTCTGCGCGATGGCATTTCGCTTCGCTACATTAAAGACATTGTTTATGATATACCGCGACAAATTCATTCATCAACTCGGCTATCTGCCTCGAGCTAGTTTCTCAACCGAGACCATGTCGCTCTTTTTAATGTTACAGCATAAGGTCGGGACAGATCTGCAAGCGACCTCAAGAAGAGGTCGAATGAAACTGACATTTGAAATCTTTCCTGGTTCTTTTGCGACTGCTTTACGTAATCTTCTTTATTCTCATGATTAGCGTTCGCGTGAATCGATGGAAACAATCGCTCCGACACGCGGATCGATCACTCTCAACCGATTATGTCTGAACCGTTAATCTCCTTATCGACCCGGAACTTCGATGTTGTTAGAACACGAGCATGCACTTTGCGAGCGCGAGGAAGATTTGCGCTGATTTGAAGAATCGATAAAATCGACAGGGTAGATTACGTAATCACATTGCATTAGAGGATTATTGGCGTGATGTATCTTTTCTATAGTAATCAACCGTATAGAAAAAGAAGAAGAGGCAGGAGAATTAAATATATCACTTTTCCAGGATATCTTAAATCTATTAATCCATTTTTTAATTAGCTATCTTTTAATAAAGTTATTTGTAACAAAATTTCAAAAAATTATACATTGCATTATTAGATAAAAAAATTTTATTTTTTTTATGTTAAATTTAAAATATTTGATTTACCTAAAACCTTTAAATATATTATATATCTTGAAAACATTTTTAATTTTCTCGTTACTGTTTGTTCAGATTATATTATTATAATTGAACAACTGCGTGATAAACTTTGGATATCACGTACATTCTCATTTACACATAACGTGAAAATAATGATTGAGATATTTGTAATCTTCATTCACATAAAGGAATAATTACATTAAAATAACATATTATTTTTGAATAATAATCAGAGATTGCAATCTACGAGATGTATAGTGATATACACAGAATGAAAGTGTACGGTGTAAAGTTGTGCCGACACGGTATACAGGGATATAGCGCTGTGTGCAATAGATTATAATAATCATAAAACAATTATAATAATTATAAAACAATTAGTTTTGTGTCCCGCCCACGCGACGAAATTGCGCATCGATTTGTGCAGACCCGAACGATCTCGCACAATGTAATCGTTAACCTTTGATGAAGTAATGAGTTGAGAGAAACGTACCTAACTGCGAGTACAAATCGTTATGCCAAGACTTGAGCACATTCACATTTGCACAGTTTCATAACGTTGCCGTTTCACTGTTTACGACCATTGGGATAGAACGTATGAGCTAATTACTCGATATGTAACGATCCACGCTTAATCAACCCCCGGTTTTGAAACAAGTAATGATCTTGTGAAACTGCAAAATTATCATACTGGGAAAATATTCTATTATGTAAGTATTGTTCTTGCACGCGATTTCACATTTTACATTTTGCAGAAAGCAAGTTCCTTTTTAATAATGATGAGCTGCCGATTGCTTATGAAACAATGTTAATTTGCAAGTGAATACTTATGACTGAATTCGAATTTACAATTTCAAATTTGAATCATTTCTAGTAGAAATTTTCTACCATATTTTCAATTGTTTACGTATTAATCGAGGAAAATAAAGTTATTCTATTTTTTAAAAACATTTATCTTTTATAATAATTATTTGTTCTTCTATTTGTTATTTTTTTTTTAGTACTCATTAATTAATAAAATAAAGATAACACACTAAATAACATATTTTATGTTCTAATACTGCTGTAATACATAACTTAATATATTTTTTTGTATTTAATACATTTAAATCATAAATTTCTGATTTTGATTTTGTGCTCGCAAGGAGTTACGCATTCGTAAATAATCTCATGACAATTATTATATTATTATTAAAATGTCATTTGTATTGCATATTATTTTATATCAGATACAAATTTTTAAAATAATACTATTAATTGATTTATAAAAATTTACAATGTGATTAAAATACTTACCGTGATATGAAAATGAAAAAACTACCAGTGGCGATGCTTCTAACAGGAATTAACATTTTTCTGGAGATGATACACGCCATATCCGCTTCTCTCTCTTCTTCTTTTACGATGTAAGGATAACTCCTATATTTAATACACGGCGTTCATCTGCTTCGAACGGTTTTACAAGAATGACACGCGCGAGAGCAATGCGCGCGAGAACGCGCAGCGGTAAACTGAACTGAGAGCGATGCTTGAACGAAAGTAAAACTCGGGTCTATCTTGTCCGGTCTATTTCGGAGTGGGGTTTCTACCCAGGATCGCAGCAACACGCGATATCAATGGTGCACCATGCATTGAAGTATAACACGTACGCGGCAGCCGCGGCCGTCGGATTGGTATTATGAACGGGACCAAGGTTCGCCTTTCCTTGGCTACGTTATTGGGAATCGCGGTTGAAGGTGGTTTCAAGGCCCGACACTCCGTTCGCACCTTCGTGCGTGCAGCATGGTATGCTTGAACCGTGTGTTCTTTTGCATAATGTCATAACAGTAGGCATCACAGCGCTGTAGCGCTATGTTAAGTGACACGCGCGGGCTTGACTGCAATGTCGTTTGCGGATTGAGATTCCTTGAGATGATACCATCTGTGATTCATTCGGACAGTCGTGCACATCCCTCTATTTACTATTTTCTCTGTGTGGATCAACAGAATAATTATCAGTAATAAATCGCGAGAATATGCTGCGCGTGGGACGAAGCAAAAAAACAATCTTTATCGAATAGATTTCTTTTTTTATGCTTATATTTATTGGGCATTACAATATTGAAAGCGGAGAATTAATTTGGCACAATTCGACGATGAAATGTAACATACATCTATAATTACACATCTAAAATATCATTTGGTTTTACTTTATTAAGATTTGGATATAGGATATAGGATCATATAATTGTTGCAAATAATCAAACCATTTTTTTGGAAGCAATGAACACGTTTATTTATGTTCCATTTGTCACAATTACATTGTTTAGCTTTCCTCTTAATAATTTTATGAAGTTGTCAAGAAATTATTTATTATTTGTTGCATTAGATGTATATTATGCGTTTAATTTACAAGATTGTGTTTTTAGGAGTGTACATCGTCTGTGTTATCGAGTACTGCGCCACTGTAGGCTAAATCCCAATAATGTTCCACTTGATGCTTTTTGAAATGTTCACGTGCCATCTTTTCGATCGGACATACTTTAAACTTAATCTCGCCGAAGTGCCGCTGTTTACTTGTTCCCTCCCAAACGAGAACACATCTGTTCGGTACATCATTCCCATCGTTATCCTTCACTATATCTTCTTCCCACTTGATGCGATGCATCATCAATCGTTTGTATTTAGCTTGCTGCTTTGTCCCACCTTCCACTACAACAACATTGCAATCTCGGAACAGCATCACGCAACCAGTAAGATAAAGTTGTTTCGCGTTAGTCTCCACTTTGAATTTTTTTGAAGCATTGTTGACAAGATCACGTATTCTGTAAGAATATTTTCTATATTATATCTATATATCTATATATCTATAATATAAAACAAAATTATATAACAAATTTTTTTACCTGTAAACAGAGACGTTTACACCAAGACTAGTATCTTCCTTAAGTTTTCTCGCTTTCTTTTCGCGACGTTGATCAGCAGTGAGTCTCCGTGCTGCATTTGCATCTTCATGAGCTTTTAGTCTTTTAGCCATTTGTTGTCGCACATGAGCTTCAATTTTAGTAGGATCCTGCACAGCTTCAGTTCCCAAAACTCGCATAAGATTCGAGATCCGCAGCTTCGGTTCCGGTGGTGGTTCTAAACCTAATCGAATTTTTTCCTGTTCTTCCTTCCATGTTTCTCGTCTATTTTGTCTTCTTAATTTCTTACGCTCCTTCTTCGTAAGAAATACAGGCATGTATATTGGTTTCAAAGGATCCGCTGCAATAAAGTCACCAAAAACCATGAATTATATAATTAAACAACATGAAAGTAAAAATAAACATAATACATACTTGGAGGTCGCATTTGTGTTGGATGTTCCACTAAATTTGTGATAGTAGAACTCTTGATTGTCGTGGGCTCATTTTCATTAGGATATCCGGCAGTTAATATGACAGAATCCCACCATTCTATATTAGGCACATCTTCAGAAAGAGCTTCAGTTTTAGGTGCGATGAGAGCTAATTTGGTTGCGGAACTAATTCCAGTTTTTCTAGCAATTTGACTAATCTCATTTTGTAATTTCTCTAATTGCGTCTTCATACGTATTCTTTCTGCCAATTGTTGAAATTTGCCAGGTTCGTGAAATTTCAATGCACGTTTACCGCGCATTGCTGGTTTTACACCTATTCTGTTATCAAAGAAATGAGTATCCTGTATTTCTTCTGGACCCTTTGATTCTTGCAGTTGCGCTCGGAATTCTTCCCTTTTCTTTGCACGTATGTTAGCTTTTAATGTAGGCACTACTTGAGTCAATTGCACTTCTTTACCTGTTATGTCTACTGTTCTGCCAGATTCATCCAAGATTAAGGGAGTTGGTTTGTCTGGTACATTAACATTACCAAGTAGTCCTGAGTTTAATTTATTTTTGATCTGCGCTTGCAACGCAGCTATTTTTCGTGCTTTGTCTGAATCTGTTTTACTTAATTAGGCCCTGATTGTACATGCTTCCTACTGTTGGAAGGGCATCTCGTCCTTTAAATATTGGCTTTGCAGAAGCATCTTCTTGTTTTATTGCCTTCAAAGCTCTTTTTCTTTCTTCTATTTCTTTTTGCGCATTTGCCATCATTTGCCTGATCTAAAGATATATGAAGACAACAAAATAACAATTTTTGTATTAATATTTAAATAATCATGTTTAATATGAAATAAAGTTTTAATACCTTGTCTGCAGAAAGTTGAGTGTCTATAGGCTTCTCATTTTTTGTTTCATCATCTTTAAATCTGGATTTTTTTGCATCTTTATCTTTATCTTTATCTTCAGGATGAGATCGTTTTTTGCTTTTTTGAGTCGCTTTAGTATCATCATATATTGTAAAAATTTTCTCTGTCAACTTAGAAGCCTTTTTATCTTCCAGTAAAGCCGATAATTTATCTATAATTTAAACAATAGCAAATTTAATTAGAAAAGTAGCAAGCAGGCTAGCAATCTATGTATTGTCTGCATTAGATGCTAATAAAAAACCATAGAGAAAATTAATTGTACTTAAATTAATATGTACATATTACATATTTATGTACTTTCTGCTACTTACCTGCTGTTTTACGTTTGTCATAGCCAGAAGTGATACAATTGACAGCAGTAGTAACAATTGCTGGTTCACTGAAGCCAAGAAATTTATGAACTGCTTTTTCAATTTGTGGTTTCATTTCATCTATTTCCTTTCGTGTTAGATACGACATTTTAAAAATTTTTCTTTTTATCACTAAATTCAAGCAATAATCCACAAATTTATAGAGAAGTTATATTCACAACATAACCTTTTTAATAGTTAGGTTAGGGTTAAGTTTGATTCCCTAACGAGTGTGTGTACCACTTGATATTAATTATTTTAAACTCTATATAACACTGAGACTTCTATTGTTATGTAAAATATTACTCTCATTTTATTTGAAACGTATGAGTATTGAAAAACGTTAGTTAATAAGCATACTATGACATCACATTGTACAACTGATGCTAGTTATATTCGACTACGTTCGTCAGAATTCGGCTATGATCGGTCACCAGTTATTTCTTGCCTTACAGTTTGTTACCACGCCTAGTCTGTTATTATTTTTTTTTTTAATGCTTATTAAGAATATGTGTATGCGCATGCATGCACTTATATACGAATATTAAATAATAGGATTTAATAAGTATAAAATTTTAACTTTATTAAACTTTAAATAAGTATAAATAAATTATTGAAAAATAAAATAGATTTATTTTTACTTTGCATTATAATAAAGCATAAAAAAATACTTTTTTTTATTTACAAATTTTTAGGCGTAACACCTAATTTATTTATTTATTTATTATGAATTAATTTTATGGACGTGTAACTCTTTTTTGAAAATGTAGATTAAAGTACGAAAAGAAGCTATATGATAGATGTAAATATAAATTTAAAATTATAGATTTTATTAATCAAATTTACGAATATTTAGATTTTTTGCATATTCTCATATGAATACTAATAGCGTAATTATACGAATTACTACCTGACACTCTCTTGTCCACTTTACTAATGATGGTACTTACATTCCACCTTTGGAGCTGGAAAAGCCCTCAAGGGAGATTTAGGTAGCTTCTCGTAATTGGCACACATTGACCCTTGACTGGATTTTCAAGTTTGAAAGGCTGTGCACACAACACATTATGCAGTTCATCGCTTTTTTACGTGTGCATAGCGTTAGCGAAAGAAATATTCGTTTCATCATAATGTGTATTTGTCATTTTAATAGTTAATATAAAAAAGAAATTTAAAAAATGCGATATTTTTGTATGTTTAAACGAGATATATTAGAGATATTTCGACTCACAGATTTGACATTACAATGAATGTGGAATAACAGAATATATATAAATTTTTGTTTGAAATATAATTTGCAATATAAATATTTCTCTTGAGATATAATTTGAGATATAGAGATTAAATAGCACATATTCTTTATTTAGCTATGATGAAAAAATATTTGAAAGAAATTATTAATAATGCACATCCTTTTATTATATTAATATTAACTAGGTACATTCTTTTTTCAATCCTTGAGGAATATACATAGAGTAAAATCATGAAAAAAAAAAAAAATAACAGCGCAAGACTATTTTAAAAAAATAATTTATTTTAAAATGACATTTACGTTTTTTATTTATTTGGTAATATTAATTTATTTGGAATCCAGTGCGAAGGTTCTATACTTGAAATTTTTTATATAATTATATCAACTAGCAGCGATAACATAATCTAATCAGGACATTGCGTGAGAATCGGAATTGTTGAATTCCGACGCCCGTCGCAACCGTTTTCAATAGTTTTGGTATATACCGAAGCACCAAACAATCAATCACTATGCATCTTATGGCCGTTCGGAAGAGACTTACAACGTAACGTGATGTTGCTAGAACGAAATATACGAAGGTGTAAAGGACGAAAGCGGTTGCGAGGGGCGGTGGAATGGCAGTGGACCGACAACCGCAAATGAGAATGGCAGAGGGAACTACGCTGTTCTACGCTTCTCTGGTGACCGATGAGGCCAATTCAGCGAACCACATTTGCTCCATTCCGAGGCTGTTGCTCTAAACTTTTCTGTTGATTGAAATGAAGGAATTGGAATTTCACACCGCATTTCCTTTGTTCCGGTTAGGCATCTATTAGACTTAATTGGCACGTATGGTGCCACGGGGTGCTGCTGTTTATTTCTACTGTCAGTGAGATAAACCGTGATGATGGTGATGATTATCACTGGTTAAGATAAACATTATGACGATTATAGTATCGTGCAGTTATGCAGTTAATAAATGAGTATTCTGGAAATAAATGTTTTATACATGTATTCATCGATAAAACATCATGAAAGCGCTTTATTCATCTTGCTTCGCGCGGGTATTACATTAATCATAGCGTTGTTTACAGATTTTGTATGAAGTAGCACATAATTGCCTGAGTTAAAAACTGCTGCAAAATGTTGGAAACTCATGAAAATCCGATCGCTGGCACATGTATTCGTGATGCACGCTTAAATTAGGACATTTTTAATTAAAAAAAAAATTAAATTAAGTCGTTAACAAATTTTTATTTTTATTGCAAAAATATGTATATACAAATAAAATTGCCGTTCTTCACAAAAAAGTAAACATTACTA